GACTTGTAAAATATGCTGCAATTGATTATAGTTTTTATCTGTTTGAAGTTTGTTGTAGTCATTGTATCCATTCACATTTTATTTGTTTTAAACTAAATTTTTATTAAAAAAAAAAAAGCAACAGCTCAGTTTCTTGCTCGTTCTTTTGCGCTAAACTGCGAACTAGGCGGTAGATTTATAAAAAAAATAGCATTTCAATAATACAGTTAAGTTTACTGGAATAAAAATTAATTGTATTTGTTTATTTAATAGAAATTAATTAAAAGGTATGGTGTGTGGTCCCGGCATAGAATGGGTCACTCTTCTCTTCCCGTGGGTGTCGTAAGAGTCTACTAAGAGAGCTTAATAGTAGAGGGACAGGCAGGAGCGTCCGTCTTAAAACATCACTAAAAGTCTAACTGTGGTTGCTAATCCGCCTACCAAGCATGGCAACTACTGACAAAATTTTCCTTACGGAGAAGGCTTATGTTCGAATACACTTAGGTAGTGTAAATAACAGACTTAACACCATATGGCGTTATTCACCAGTCGACCGTAGACAAGAATAAAAGAAAATGTAATTAATTACGATTTAATGACTTATTTTAATTGATAATTGATTTTGACTATTGGACATCAGCAATTTTTTTTATGCCCCAAAAATGACAAATAATTATTTAGCCCATCTGATGGTAAACGGTTACTATAGTCCAAGAACGCCTGCAACACTAGGGGTGTCACGTACACGTAAGTCCTATTGAAAAAAAAAACGTAATTTCTTTACCATTTACTCGCATTGATTGTGAATCTGTGGTAAAGATGTGTAAATGTCTGTTTTTAGACATTCGAAATGGAATAAAATGCAATCGATTTTATATAAGCCCGTAAACGTAGTACGTTTGAAAAACAGAACGGAACATTGGCTGTGACATCATCGTAAATTCAATATGGCAGGTGCTAAAATATCTTTTCTTATATCGTCTTTTTTATACTACCCTAAAGTGGATATATAAAGTGGAAGAAATAAAGAAGGTAGCCTACGGGTAAAATGTAATGTGCTTTTCTCTGTTGACCTAAAGATTCTTACTGATTTATTGTTGTTAAACTTTTTGTCAGTAGACATTATGTTTTATTTATTTTTTTATTTATTTATTTACACATACACTAAACAAACCTTTCATTTAAATGATATTATTAGTTAAATACAATTGCTCTTAAGAAAAATAATATAAATTATACATATTACATCTGACAAAATAACATAATAACGAAGATTACACAATTATATAATAACATTACTATTTTATTTTTAATTTTTTAGATTTATTTTAATAGAATAACTACCGGTTTAACTTAAGTGTAATTGGATCGAGAAAATTCGACTAGTTATCGAGACCATCCTAGCCTTAGTATTTGACTCTGCGACGTGAGCACGTGTCTGAAAAATAAACACAATTTAAACATAAACCGAGAGTTATTACATTAAAATACATTTTTTTATTTATACAACTTAGAATGACAAACAAGCTGACGGCCCACCTGATGAAAAGTGGTAACCATCGCCTATAGACATAAGTACCAGAGAGTATACTGTTTCGCCCATGATACTCCCCATACGTTGCCATTCCTGAGAATCAGGTGTTATTCCTCTGTGCCCAGTAAATTCACGCCATATACCACCCTTCAAACCGAAACACAGCCATGCAAACACAAATGCTTCACGGTTGAAACATGTCATGTTGTACATATCTGTTAAAAACACAGTCGCGAATTTATAATTGTGATAACGAGCGCTTTCACTGCTCATTAAAAAATAAATTCTAATTTAATTGTCACAGAAGCAAGCCGGTTATGTACATTGCAAAATTCCAACTGCAGCCTCAAGCCTTGCAAATTGAGGAAAGTTTTTTAATTACATCTACGTTTGTGTAAGTTACAGCCAAGGATACTTGTACGGCTAGAACTGGGACCGCAGCGGCCATATTGTTTAATTTAGAAAACGTCTCTTTCTCCGGACAGAATTGAGTTTTTAATTTTTTTTATGCAATTTAAAAATGCACACAAGCTGACGACTCGTCTTATGGAAAGAGATAACCGTCGCGTATAGACAAAAACAGTAACAATAGATATTAATTCACTATGATTCATATTCTTAAATGCGACGTCACCTGTAGAATCTAGTTCAAGAGAACCTAATGAAAATATAAACAATAAATAATTGTTCCGACCATAAGATAGTCTGCTGATATCCATTACTTAGTATTAAATAAAAATCAATTCAACTCAATCATTTATTGCTATTTCATGTTTTTTTTTTTTGATGGGTGAAAATGGTATGGTAACCCCGCCTGCGCTAACGGGATACGCTTGCACCAGTGAAGGGTGATAGATGAGAATGAAAACAGGCCAGTTAGCCCATCATGATGAATTCATCAGGAATTAACCATGATAGTTTCCAGGGAGAACCGCGAGGAGGTCGTCCTGGTTGGGTATATTGCTAGCAATGGGATTCTCAGTCTCCATTACTAACAATCCCTTTCCCCCCGCTATTTCATGTTGTGACAATATAGGTGTTAAGTTAATAAAGGTAAGGAATCAACATGAACCCTGGAAGGACACAGCAATGTCATTAATAAATATTTCATAAAGCACGTAACTACATTTTTATATTATACTAGCTGACCCCGTAAACGTTGTTTTACCACTTATTGCGAAATATAAAAATCGCGATTAAAATACAGGGGTTGATCGTAAAACGATGAAAATTTAAAGTTGTGTGTATTTTTCAATGCTAAATTATAATAAAATAAAAATGGAAAAATTTGTTAATAAAATAAAAAAAAATTGTGGAAGGTCACCCTTATCATTGAGGGGTATGAAAAATAGATGTTGGCCGATTCTCAGACCTACCCAATATGCACACAAAATTTCATAAAAATCGGTAAAGCCGTTTCGGAGGAGTTTGGTAACAAACACCGTGACACGAGAATTTTATATATAAGATATATGTACAGTCGATTAACAAAATAAATAAAACATCATTACATTAAAACAAATAGGTACAAATACAATTAAATTTGCTCATTAAAAAATCAATTAATTGAGTATATTTTTTGTTCATCATTATCATACCAGCCATTAACTGTTCGCTGATGAACGTAGGTCACTACCATGAAGTAGGTTTTGCCAGTAGTTGCCACGCTTGGCAGGCGGGTTGGCAACCGCAGTAAGGCTTTAATGACGTTTTAAGAGGGACACTGCTGCCCATCCCTCGACCAATAAATTCTCTTAGTCGCCTCTTACGACTCCCGCGGGAAAGGAAGGGGTGGCCTATTCTATGCCGAAACCACACGGCTAAGAGGCGACTAAGGGAATTTAGGTTACGGAATGGGCAGCAACATCTCTCTTAAATCATAACTGCGGTTGCCAAACCGCCTGCCACGTATGGCAACTACTGACAAAACTATGGAAAAGGCCTATATTTAACAGTGAATAAATAACGGCTGAGATAAAAATAACGAATAAAATAATAGAGAACAAACCTGATATCGTGGTGATGGATCGGACACTCTCGAGGGTGTTTTTGGTGGACGTCACCATACCGCATGACGAGAACCTCGTGAAAGCCGAAATCGAGAAAAGAGAAAATAGCTCGACCTGACTCACGAGGTGACCGAAATGTGGGGGGTGACGTCCACCGAAATCATTAGTCTTATCCCAACCAGTCTGGAACAACATCTCAGACGGTTGGGATTCCGAGGCGGCTCACTCCCGGGAAAAATGCAGAAAGCGATGCTCTTAGATTCTGCCCGCATTGTACGCCGGTTTCTCTCCCTGGGGCCCTGAACCCCGGCCTACTGTGCTTCTGCCGGGGGTTAGTTGCCATCTCCTCTCCTTAAGAGGGGAGATGAGAATTTTTGTAAAGTTTAAAAAATAATAATAATAATGTCGATTTATTAAACAAAATTTAACAAAAAATCTTCCTCTAAAATAAACTTCACATATTTAGCTCTACATTTACACACATGTAAAGTTTAATTGTAACGTAGAACGGAGCTGTGAAAAATATAAAAATAGACAATTTTGGGCCTCAATCGTACCCCACTCACAGTGAGTCGTCGGTGCTGACAGTTCGTCCAACTTTCGACGCGAACTTCCTCCTGCTTGCGTCAAACTATTGACATTTCTGTGTCAAATATTTATCGAGTGACGCCAGACCCTCGTTGTCATATGGACGAAATGGAATTTTGGATGGTCCATACAATACTTGATGCTATTATTCGAAATATATTTGTTTACTATCTCAAGTTTGTTTCTTGAAGTAAATAAATATATTTTGTACTATATTTATCCGCGTGTGTTTTGCGAGTAATACATAGTAACCTATTTTTTCTCTACACACACACACACACACACACACACATATATATATATATATATATATATATATATATATATATATATATATATATATATATATATATACATGTACATACTTGTTTTGATTTAGAGAATTTAATAAGTAATATACATATATTATGTCGTAGAATTTCTACTACTAATATAATGTATAATATAAATGTTGGTAGTCGTAGGTATATATATAAGTTGCATACTAATGGTAGAGGAATTAAACAAAATAATTCTAATCAAATAACCAGTAATATTTATTACTATTATATCAGCCGTTAAATGTCCACTGCTGAACATTGGCCTTGTGGGCATTATGGGAGGCATAAGGGGGGTTTTGTCAGTGGTTGCCACGCTTGACAGACGGCTTGGCAACCACAGTTAAGTTTTGGTGATGTTTTAAAAGGGACGCTGCTCGGCCATCCCTCGGCCAGTTCCCTTAATTGATTCTTATGACACCCATATGAATATACCCATAAAGAAAGGGATGACGAGACCACACGGCAACCAGTGATATGAACTTTCACAAAAGCACAGCAAAATAACAGCTAGTTCAGTAAAAGATTTATTTAGAAAGGTTTGATTTATATTATTGTTTTTATCTTTACCAGATGAAGTCGCCTACCCACCGACGGAGTGGTTCGACGAGAACTGCTCATGGGTGGACGCGGTATCGTGGGGCTGCAACACCACCGTCAACGCAACCACTAACTCCACCTCCAGTGACGTCACGTCGCTCGTCCTCATGGCGGTCACGTCGGTCGTATTGGCGCTCATCATCTTAGCTACTATCGTCGGTGAGTTTTTTTTAATAGGTGAATATGGTAACCCCGCCTGCGTATCGGTATATGCTGGCGGGGCACCAGTGAGGGACGATAGGTGAAAATGAAAAGGTCAGTTGGCTTATCGTGATGAATACACCCGAAATTCAGCACAATGGTATCCACAAGAGCCATGTGGAGACTGACTTAATAAGATATATTACTAGCAATGGAACTGGCCATCATATCAGCCTTTAACTGTCCACTGCTCGCCATGCTTAGCAGGCGGATTGGCAACCTCAATTAAACTTTGAGGATGTAAGAAGAAAACAACTGTCCGTCCCTCGCCTTCCCTTTGTTGCCTCTTAAGACAACCATGCAAAAGGAAAGGGTGGCCTATTCCATACCGGGAGACTGGAACCAAGAATCTGGTAGTCCGCATTATTGCAAATCCCTGCCCTTCCTCCCTCCCCCTCGTCGGTGAGTTAGTCTCTGTACTCGCTTCGTAATCGATTTTCTTTTTATGGAACACAGTCCTAAATCATTAATCTACTACTAATCTTTTAGAGAAAACAATAAAGAATATCTATCTACTATAAAAACTACTTATATTATCCAATAAAATAGATTGAATCTGACTGTATGGGTATAACTTGACAAATATCACGATGTCATAAAATAACGATCACTATAAAGTCGAATATGTAACTGATCGATTTATTAATTCGATTATCCATAGCGATACTAATCTACTAATCTTCTGAAGGAAACAATGAAGAGTATCTATCTACTATAAAAACTGCTTATACTATCTTAATAAAATAGATTGAATCTGACAGTATCGGTATAGCTTGACAAATATCACGATGTCACAAGATAACGATCATTCTAAAGTCGAATATGTAACTGATCGATTACTTATTCATTCGATTATCAATAGCGATATTAATCTACTAATCTTTTAGAAGAAACAACAAAGAGTATCTATCTACTATAAAAACTATTTATACTGTCCAATAAAATAGATTGAATCCGACAGTATCGGTATAGCTTGACAAATATCACGATGTTACAAGATAACGATCACTATAAAGTCCAATACGTAACTGATCGAGTGCTTATCGTATTCGACTATCGATAGCGAATGGATTTTTGTCGTATGTTAAGTATAAAACTTGGGGTTCTATTTTTGTAGAATAAATGGCATTTGTTAAGGAATTAGAGAAATGGGCAGAGAGAATGTTTTATTTAAATCATTTATAATTAGTATATTTATATACACTTTAAACCAAAATAGACCCATTATTGAGATATTTTTAAATAATTCCAAATAAAAAAAAAAACAAACGATAATCTTTCAAAACAACTTAAAATTCTTAGTGACAGTATCATTAAAATTTTTAAACCTTAATGGTAAAAAAATAAATTTGAAATTTTTGAAAAAAAAAGCAAAGCACAAAATACGTCTTAATAACACAGTACAGTAATAGTACAGTATGACTCACGATAGTTATTATCCAATAAAACATTTAGCGCTAAATTTATGAGCGTTGCTCTATGATTAACATTTCAGTCTGTATTACTTTTTATGTTCTTATTTTTAATGTTATGTATTTGCTGTAGATATAAATATATGAATTATCTATTTTTGATAATAACAAACCGAATATAACAACTTCGGTATGAACGATATATATATATATATATATTGTTTCGTACAAATAATTAATAACAGTGACAGTAAGTAACAGAAGTTATTACGAGTATAAACAGTGTGATCAAAGGCATGACGAAAATTCTGTAATTTTTAAATACATATGGTGACATATAATACATCCAATATATATTGATAAATGATATTTCTTTCTGTATATATATATATATATATATATATATATATATATGTTGACCGTGTGGTTATAGAATAGGCCACCCTTTCCATGGGTATCTTCGACTAAGAGAAGACGAAGGATGGGCAACAGCGTCCCCTTTAAAACATCTCTAAAGTCTAACTGCGGTTGCTAATCCGCCCGCCAAGCGTGGCAACTACTAGCACTGGGGGAGGCTTATGAACATAAGCCTCCCCCTTGGGAGGTTTAAAGGCTGATGTGATATGATGATATGTGTATGTACTTGTTTTATACCTTTGATCGTATACACTGCATTGAAACATTGAAAAGTCAAATAAGTTTTGGCAAATAAAATTGATACGTTGTGTTTCATAGAAAACGTGTGTAGATTGGTTTTTCGGCTTATGTCGTGTAAAACAGACATACGGAAATTTCTATCCAGTATTCTGATGAAAGTAACAAAATGTCAATACGGGTTTAGCTTTACTAGAATTGCTCTCGCCTCGCGTTGTCATCATATTTCATCTTTTGTGCCGCAAATTCACTCTGACATCGTATTGTATTTTTTGTAATATTTTGTTTATTATTATTATTATATCAGCCGTTAACTGTACACTGCTGAACATAGCGAATAGGACAATTATTGGCAACTCCCCCCCCTCATGGGGAGAAGGTTGCCACGTTTAGCAAGCGGGTTGGCAACCGCAGTTAAGTTTTGAAGATGTTTTAAAACGGACGCTGCTGCCCATGCCTCGTCCTCCCTTAGTCGCCTCTTACGACACCCACACGAAAGGAATAGGTAGCCTATTCTATGCCGGGACCACACAGCCCCCGGGACTACACGGCCCTTATGTTAGTGACATAATTACGGATAAGATTAAGCCACTAACAATATGGGTCATTGTAGTCTCTAATAAAGATATAATAAATAACTAAAATATCGGGAAATAACAGAAAAGATGAAATATTAAGAAACATTTTTTTCTATGAGTTGCATTAATAAAAAGAGTTTTTTTCTATGCATCTTAGAATGGCAAACAAGCTGACGGCCCACTTGATGGAAAGTGGTAACCGTCGCCTATAGACATGAGCAGTACCATGGACAAAACCGAGGACAAAATCATGGGCGAAACAGTATACTGTTTCGCCCATGATACCCCCATGCGTTGCCATTCCTGAGAACTCGGATGTTATTCCTCTGTACCAGAGGAATTGTGACTACGCAGAAAAAAGGAACAAAAAATCCATTTACTTCTACAATTTTCTTTTATCTAAATTTTTTTTTATTGTTGATGTCCTATATATAATAGCGGTTAATAGCTTAATGGGATATAATTAAAAAAAAAAGTAATAAATCGTACACACATTTCCTATTCCATATTTCTGTGACACAACATCGTCTTTTTTGTAATCAAACAAATATGGACGCGTCTCCATCCTGGCCGCTATCCAAATTGGTACTTTCAAATGTAGGTTATCCATACCGTATGTATAAGTTCTAGACAGTCAGAAAAATGGACTGATGTTTTTTTCTTTCTGACTAAACAAATTGCTTTTATCTCCAAGTCAAGTTCAACAGACGTAGTCAGGTAATAAAATTAATGTACATGCACGTGGCACACTAAATACATATGTAAATACATATCTATATATAAATGAATATATATATATTTTTTTTTAAATATTAAATGAATGATAATGGAATGATAACCCCACCCCACCTGCGCTGACGGCATACGCAATGGTTTCCAACGGGAACCACGTGGAGTTCGACCTGCTTACAACCGGACTGGTAGTCCGCATTACTAACAATTCATTCCCCACTCCCTACCTATAAGAATTATGACCCTCCATTTTGCTTCTTTTTTTTCTGCTGTTTATTATTATAAAAGAATGTACAAAAGTACTTAAATAAATTTAAAAAAAATACATTGTATTGTTCAATCTCATTTAAACAGTTGAACCATAACATCAACACGTAAATAAAGCTGCAGGTTACAATTAGTATTATAATAATAAAAAAATAAAACAAAATCTTCAATACATATAAATCAAAATTACAAAAATCTTTTTGTATGCGAAGTATGAACGCTGGGCAGAAGTCGCTCACACTGAGAGCCGACTTTAATAGGAAAGTGTTTCACAATACATCAATGACAGCAATTGAGTGACAGTTAATTAAAAAAAAATTACAATCTAAATTAGAAGACGGATCCTTTTTTTCTGCTCGCGTCTCATGTTGGAGTTGTGTTTCCATAATGGTAGACGCAATCAATCTTAATTTTATTCTTTCTTTTATTTTATTTATTACCAGAGGGAGACTGTACAAAAGTCGTTTGCTTGCCCACCTCTGTTCCATTTGTGTTTCTACCGTGAAGAAGTTGTGTTTGCATGGCTGTGTTTCGGTCTGAAGGGTGGGATATAGCAGTGACTTTATAGGGTACAGTTAACAAAACACAACACCTGAGTCCTCAGGAATGACAATGGATGAGGTGTATCATGGGTGAAACAGTATACTCTGTTATGTCCATTGTACTGTTCATATCTATAGGCGACGGTTACTACTTTCCATCAGGTGGGCCGTCAGTTTGTTTGCCATTATAAGTTGCATAAAAGAAAAATTTAAGAAGAAAAGAAATAATTCTATTTATTTATCTTTTAGTCAACATGTTTATAAATGTTTCTCAAATATCTCTTTTTTCAATGGACTTCCAAACGAAGTAAGTTCTCAATTCAGTTGAATTTTTTATATATATTTGTTACCTTATAAATCTGTCAGTTATATACCGATTTGGAAAATCACATTTTTATATGAAAGAATATATTTATTTATTTATTCGTCAGTATAGATATGTGTATATGGCGGAGTTAATGCTAGAAGCATTCTCTCCCAGTCAACCATAGAGTATATAATCCTATAGTTGATATATGACATATAACCCTATGGTATATTGATACTTACAGATGTGTCCAATAGAAATTTTGTCAAAATTAGATCAGTAGTTTAGTTTTCAAAACAAACTAATTGTTTTTACCACCAAAGACTGGTCGTGTTTTTTTTTTTTTTTTGTCAAAAACAATCTTAATTATTTTAACACTCGTACGGACTGTGGTATTAAACTTCTTTAAGTCATTTGTTTTGAGGAAAATGTTCAGTTAGAACATTCTAGTAATTGATTTCCACAT